GCACTCTGGGTGTTTATTGCTACTAAGACATGGGATGCTTTTGGAAGCTAAAGTTTTGGTATTATACCTGTAGGTATTAAATAATCCACATGGTCCTTCTTTAGCCCTATGTCTCAGAGCTTACTTACTCTGATTCACTCATGAGAAAAGGCTTTCGTGTGTTCCAGGGCACACAGCTTGGTAATATTTGATATCCCCTTGCATCTTGCTCATGGGAAAGAATTTCCTGTACCATACCGCAGCAGTACAAACAGCTCAATATAGCATTTCTCTCTTACACCTATTAACACATCAAGATGGGTACCCATATAATAAATCCAATACTCAGGTCAAAATCTGGAATATACCTGTGGCACACTGGTTGCCAACCAATATGTAACAAATATGGTTGTTTACAGCACATAAGTTACCTACACAATTCTCATCCATTCATTTTTAACAAATACTTACTAAGAAATGGCAGCAAAAGAGAGAGACATTGATTGAGTAGTCATATGCACATATAATGACAACCGCAAATGCCATCCCCCTTTCTTGCTCACAGAAACTGGATTTTGTTCAGCCATCTATTCATCTATCTCTCTGATAGCTCTTTCAGAAGTAAATCCTGGTTAATCTTAGCCAATCATGATAATTCCATTCTCTTTGCCAATGTTTGGTTTAGAGGTAGAAATAATTTACAGGGAAGTCAATTGGTGGGAGAGCTTCTGAGAAAGATTGTCTTGATAATGAAAAGAGACTCATAATGAAAGAGATCCCTTCTACTCGCTGCCCAGAACTACACCAGCCGTCTTGTGACCATGAGAAGAACTAAGGTAACATGCTGAGGACAAAGAGACAAAAGATGGCAAGAATGTGGGTCTCTGATGATGTTACTGAGCTGCTCCTAATCAGCCCAAGGGGACCCCTAACCTGGATTCTCTTGTTATATAAGATAGTAAGTATTCCTTATTGTCTTGGCAATTTGAATTATTTCTTTTACTTACAGCCAAAAGCCTCATAATAATCATGTCCTACTTTAGAATATTTTAAAACAATAACTTTTATTTAGATCCAAGGCCCTTTACAGAACTCACCTATCCACCCATCCATCCCTTTATTTTTAACAAATATTTATTTAATTTATTTAATTTAATTTTATTATGTTATGTTAGTCACCATACAGTACCTCATTAGTTTTTGATGTAGTGTTCCATGATTCATTGCTTGTGTCTAACACCAAGTACTCCACGCAATATGTGCCCTCCTTAATACCCATCACCGGGCTAACCCATCCCCCCACCCCCTCCCCTCTAGAACCCTCAGTTTGTTTCTCAGAGTCCATAGTCTCTCATGGTTTGTCTGCCCCTCCAATTTCCCCCCTTCGTTTTTCCCTTCCTTATCCTAAATATTTACTAAGAAATGGCAGCAAGAGAGAGAGACAGAGATATATATAGAGAGAGACATTGAGCAAATAATCACAGGCACATATAATGACAAACTATGATAAATAAGAAGAAGGAAAAGTATAAGGAACTATGTGAGGATAACTGACGGATACAATTTAGACTGGGAAGAGGGAAGCATTAAGGTAAGACTTCACTTAGCAAGTGATGTGTGAACTGAGGTCTGAGAGCCATTATAAGGGATGGAAAGTGTTAAGGATGGAGTACCGCATGTGCCAAGCCTCAAGGTGGGATGCAGCATGATGCCCTGGATGAACCTGCAGGATATCTGTGGAACAAGGGGAGAGATGGGGGAAAGAGTAGCACATTTAAGACTAAAGCGGTTGGCAAGGTCCAGACAACAGAGGATCGATCTTGGAGACCATAGTAAGGACTTTTCTCTTGCTCCTAAGAGAAAAAGGGATAATGAAGGGCTCTGAGAATCATGACCTAACCAGTTCTTTTTGAGCATCTTTGGGCTCAGTCTTGCCATAGTCTTGCATCCATAAATGCATAACACTGTCAGTGAGTGTTCTAATCATTACTTGGGCCTCTTAAAGGGGATCCTTGACGGAAAGTATGAGAGCTCTCCCAGTATCTATTTGCTCCTCTCCATTTTCCAGGCTTCCCTGCAATTTGGTTGGGCCCATGAGACTGGGTTTGGCAGTAATGATGTAAGTCCTTTCCAGGTCTGATTCTTAAAAACATGTGTGTGATCTTTCTGTCCGTCCTTGCTTCACCTGCTACCGTGAACTTGGAGGTCATCTTTCCGGACAGCAGGATGTAAAAATGCTGTGGTGACCTGCAGAGCTCAGACTTTGGGTGAGTGAGAAACAAGACCCTCCCCTTTTAAGGCCCTGAGTTTTCAGGGTTTCTTCGTTACTGTGGTGTAATTTAACTGTATTAGCTCCGTAGAGCTGCTATAACAAATTACTACAAACTGAGCGGCAACCGAAATTTCTGGAGCCTAGAAGTCTGAAATCAGGGTGTCAGCCAGGTTGTGCTTTGTCCAAAAGGTCCACGGAAGAATCTTTCCTTCCCTCTTCATAGTGTATGGTCCTTCTGGCAATCCTTGGTGTTCTTTGTCTTGTAGCTGCATCACCCAATCTCTCCTTCCATCTTCACATGGGTTTCTTCTCCATGTGTGTCTGTCTCTGTCTGTGTTTTCAGATGGCCTTATAAAGACACCAGTGTTGGATTTAGGGCCCGACCCAATCCAGTATGACCTCATTTTATTTTATTTTTAAAGAATTTATTTATTTGAGAGAGAGATAGTGAGAAAGAGCACGAGGTGGTGGGAGAGGGAGAAGCAGGCTCCCTACTCAGCAGGGAGCTCAACGTGGGGCTAGACCCCAGGACCCTGGGGTCATGACCTGAGCCGAAGGCAGACACTTAACCAACTGAGCCACCCAGGCATCCCTATGACCTCATTGTAATGGAACCAATCAGATCCACACAGACCCCATTTCTAAATAAGGTCACATTCTGAGGTTCCTAATGGACACACATTTTGGAAGGACACTATTCAACCCACTACAATAAGCTAATCCAGGATATAATTTATAATACACAGCAGTATTTCCACACTTCTATCATCCCCAACTCCAGGGCAGCTCTGGAACCGTCCCCTCTTCCTTCCCGCTCCCTTCTTTGGCCATTACTCTCCCCAGTTTTCAGCCTGCAGGGCCATTTTTTTTATCATGCCCTCACCTTTTCTCACACCTTTATGTGTACCATCTCTCCATACATTCATCTTGGTTTAAGATCACAACAATCCTGGGAATTGGGCTGGCAAAGGCAGAACAACCATAGAGGGCAGAGCAAAGGGGAAGAAATTAAGAAGCAAAAGCCAGAATATTTTAGTGCATGAGTTAATAGGTTCCCATCAAATCTGCATTTCAAGAGATCGTTCTGGCCACAGTTGAGTCTGATAATGGAGAGCAGACAAGAGCATGTGTAGGTCTGGAGGCCACTGGGAGTCTATTGTAACAGTCCTGAGAGCTCGGACCGGGGTGATGATAGAGGAACGCAGGTGCAGATACAGTCCAGGGACAGTACTGATAAGACATAAGAAGAGGGTAAGGGAGAGAATCTGACCAAAGCTGTGGACCTTATTTTCAGTGAAATTCACATTGAAAAAAAAAATTTTTTTAAAGATTTATTTATTTATTTAGAGAAAGTAAGCATGAGCAGGAGGGCCAGAGAAAGAGAGAGGGAGAGAGAATCTCAAGCAGACCCCACAGTCGGCAGGGAATCAGACTCGGGGCTCAGTCTCAGGACCCTGAGATCACGACCTGAGCTGAATCCAAGAGTCAGACACTTAACTGACTGCCCCACCCTGGCACCCCTCAAAAATATTTATACAAGCATAATGACTCCTGTTACAGACTCCTGAAACCCATGCTCATTCCTGAGCTTAAATCCTGGTTCTAGGGAGTAGTTTCAGACTGCCAGAAAAACTGCCTCCTCATTCCAGCTTCTGATAGCTCCTGGACACCAGCCAGGCTAGGTTCTTCTTTGTGAGCATTGTCTGGAGGGGTTCCATGTCGCTCCACATGTGTGAAGCCGTCAGCTTCAACAGCCCAGTGTTTGAATGAAGCAGAGCCCTACCTGCCTGGAGATGGGCCAAGGGGCAGCCACAGAAAGGGCTTTCATAACTATTCTTTCCCATGAACAGAGAAAAGATGCAAATTCCAAGTGGGAAAAGCCAGTGGACATCCAGGGGAAACCTGGACCACAGTTAAGAGGCAGGTCCCCAGTAACAGAAGGTCTCGTATGGATGCCAAGAAATGGGAGGGTATGTGAGACGGGGTAGGGCTGGTGGGTCCCATGACCCCCAGCTCTGCTCGTGTGGAGTCAGGCAGCTCACAGCAGCCCATCCTCGTGACTGCAATGCATGTAAGTGCCGTCAGTCTGCACTCACCACAGCCTGCCCCTCACCACGTGGGGCCAGTCAATAAAACTGGACTACTGCTTTGCAGCCTGCATTGAGATGACATGTTTAAGCTTGGTCCCCAACCTTATGTGTGGGTCCACACCCACAAACTCATAGGGAGTGGGGATAAGCTGACTCAGCTGGGCTGGGGTCACAGTGGGACTGATACAAGGGGGGAGTGACCATTTGGGAGATCCTGTCTAAGGAAGGGAGCCTGCCATCTTAAAAAGATTAGGTTTAATGTGACTGGCATCAGGACCCTAGTGGTCCAGTTTGGGGACTGAGGGTACAGTAGTAAGCTCTCTGAGGAGTAGTGGCAGTCAGCATCAGTGGATAGTAACATTTTCAATCCAGGGAGAATGTACTTGAAACGGAACAGTGTTACTGACAAATAGCTAGTAGGCTGAGGAACAGGGTTCCACTCAGTAGAGAAAGAAGGGGACAGGAACAAATTGGGCAGGTTCTCAGGGTTCTGGTCCAGCAGGGGATGGATCAGGAGGCTGGATGGACATAGTGACTGGGCACGTGAAGTACTGAATGTGAGTGGGGCAGTTGTGGGGTAGGGAATAAGTACATATGTTCTAGTTCTGGTTCTGGAACTCTTGTGTGATCGTCTATCTAGGTTCAGGGCCAAACACTGAGCCTGGCCCTAGTGATTTGGCAACTGCTAATATGTCACTGGGCATATCTCTCATTGGCTCAGGAGCTCTGCCTGAATGACCCATCAGGTAACAGGTCGCCGGTCCTCATTCTGAGCACGTCTGAGGTAGTCAGTCACTGACACTGTTTGGCATATGGGTTCCCGCTGAGGCTTAAGACCAAGCCCAACCCCCCCATGCAAAGCCCAGGAGGCTTAACTGGATTTCCTACACCTGCCCTTCCACCTTCCACCCTCCCCCAGAACCCTCAGGCAGCTTCCCACCAGCCTGGGTTCTCCATCTCCACCTCCAGCATTGGGTATTGCCCCTGGGAAGACAGTGACTGCCAGCCCAGGCCATGGAACCAGATTACATTGTCTGAATTCCAGGCTCTGATACTTCCTACATGTGTGATCTTGAGTATATTTCCTCACCCTTTGAGCCCCACTTTCTTCATCTGTAGGTAAGAAAAATAACCCTAGAGCAAGGATGAATAAGAGAATTGAATGAGATCATGCATGTAAAGCATTTGATGCAAGGTCCAGCACATATAAATACTGTATCTCACAGTTGGCTGAGTTGGTTGGGGGCTGATCTTATAGCTGGGGCTGCTCGCCAAGCTTGCCCTGGATCCTCCTTCCTATGGCTTCTGCCTCTTCTCCAGCAATCTGAAATGCTGAGATGCTAATATACCTTCAGATTGAGATTCCTTAACACAGTCTAGGCAAACTGTCCTTGTCTTGTGTGAGGGCATGTTCATGTGTATGTATCTGAGAGGAAGGATGGGGATCAAACCCAAGTTAGCTCCATAGGATTGTTCCTTTTTAAAAAATCGTTTCCATTCTGAATGAAGAACAAATAGACTTCTGCTTCTTCTGGGAACACAGTGAAGGTGATACCTCTTCTTTCCAAATAGCTTGTTAAAGGCTGAGTACCTAGGACTGATGGCAGAAGGTTGTCTGATCATTCAGCTTGAGTCATAGTGGGATCAGGGATAGGTTTAAGAATGGTAAGTATATGAGAAGATATTTATAGGAAGGGTAATGACATCTTATTCTCCACCATCACCAATAATAGTATAAGATTAAGTTAAATTCATTATAAGAAGAAAGATTCAGTTGAGATACAAAGAAAAGAAGACAGAGCGAGTTCTAGTAAGAACCAGCTTAGAAAGTACAAAAATTTAGGAATTGTTCTAGGTATCCTTGAAATCACATTTCACATGGGAAATGCTGTGATGTTAACGCAGGCAAACATCCATTCTGGGTCTGTTTAGTCTGCGTGGTTTCAGAGGGAAATAATAATTATTATGGCACTTGTTAGTGATAAGAGATTTATTTCCTTCTTTGCTTTTCATTGTCTGTGTTCATCTTCCCTTTTCCATATATGCTCTACTCCCTTTTTCCCATTGCCTTAGTGATTATAACAGGATCTTCTTCATGCCTATTAAGCTGAAAGCTAATACCCTCTCTCCTTTCAAACTGTCCTTAAAGTACTTCGTCTTCCACCTTCACTCCAGGCCTTGTCTGTGGAGTGTTTTTGACAATATTTACAAGTCTCTGCATAGAGCTGAAGATGATGGAGGACAACGGGAAGAGGTCTTTGCTTTAGGTTTTATTCAGCTTCCCACAGTCTCCTGAGCTTGGACTTCCGTGTAGACTTCTATTGTTTGATTTCCCAGCACTTTTTTCATGAGTCAAGTTATGGAAACCTGACGTAGCTATCCCCCTTCCCTTCACGCATTCTCTGCCCTGCTGGGAGCCGTCCTCGTGGGCCTGCCATCGTGGTGGCCCAGCCCTCCCTTGGGCAAGATTGAGTAGGTGACACAAGTCAGACCAAGTAGACACTCTCTTCCTGGAATTAGAATCATAAGCAAAATGGTACAGAAAGGCTGAAAACAGCTGAAGGTTGGTCATCATGACCATAGCAACTTGAAGAGGTGACACATTAAATAGTCTCTAGCACCTCATCCCTGGAGCTCTGCTGTTCCTTATCTTTCTGGACTCTGCTATGTTTTGTTTTGTTTTTAGCTTCTCTGTTGATTATGAGAGCCATCCCATATCCTTCCCAGTGTGTTCCTTTTTGTTTAATTTAGTAAAGGTTGATTTCTGCGTTGTAAACAGAGAACCCCCAAAGACATTCTGATACGCTGTTCTTTATGAGATTATCAAAAACAACAAAACAATTCCCATATGTCCTCTTAAATATTATCTTTTCTTGCTTTAAGGCATTAATAAAATGTTGATTATTGGCATGGAGATAGTTGTAACATTTTGGAGGAGTCACCAGATGGTGACATTACATATTATTTCCTAATCCAATTTATCTCGAAATGTGTGTGTTTGTTAAATCTTGAGGAAATGCTTTATCATCATGATTATAGTATAGTTCTGCTGTCTAAAAACCTAGCTATAGAGTATCTTGTGGGGACAGAATTTGGATGTGATGAAAGCAGTTCTTTGGCTATGTCTCAGAAGCAGGCACCCTAACTTCAAAATAATTTATGTTCAAAATGTCTGAAGGCAAACAAATATCCTCAGTGGGGGAATATTTCCTAAGTGGATGCAGCCAATATGTAGATTTTATTACAGCTCTGTCCCAGGAACCAATGACTTACCCATTGCTGTCACTTACACATAAACCTTTCACAGATTATGATAAATGTTTCCTTGATACATAGGCTCTCCTCTCAGCAAAACCCTCAAGCAGTGGATTCTGACCAGAAGCCATGTGGGTGGTGGCAAAAGATCTTTCCTTTGGATAATAAGGGACATTGCAGATTAAATTGTTATGATCACGCAGGGGTTAGAAAAGATTTCTGCTATTAAAATAGGAGGTCCGTGGACATTCAAAAAAAATTGACCAGAGTTATTTTGATAGATCAGACCAAAAGAAGAAGAAAATAACACTGAACCCAGTACCATGGACTGTTAGAAATTCTCACTGATACATATCAAAAGGTAACAAAATATATTTAAGAAAGAGTATTTTCTATTCTGCACTACTTTCAGCTCTGGGGTTTCAAACAGCAAACATTAATTAATTAGCTCATGAGTTTCTGGTTGGCTGGCTAGTTCTTCTGGTCTTAGCTGGGCTTGCTTATGAATCAGGGATGAGTTGTGGGTCTAGCTCCTAACTGGCTTTGTGATCTTGGCTGTACTCACATGTTTGGTGATTGGTTGGCTGTGTACTGGTCTAGGATGTTCTCAGTGGGAACAACGAGGTTCTTCTCTACTTATCATCCAGCAGGCTGGCCTCTGTTTATTCAGATAGCCATGTCAGCGTTCTGAGAGAGACGACAGGCAAAACATTTTTTTGGAAGTCTGAGCTTGGAACTGGTACACAGTCACTTCTACCTCAATAGGAGGAGCTATGGGGGCGCCTGGGTGGCTCAGTTGGTTGAGCGACTGCCTTCGGCTCGGGTCATGATCCTGGAGTCCCGGGATCGAGTCCCACATCGGGCTCCCTGCTCAGCGGGGAGTCTGCTTCTCCCTCTGACCCTCTTCCCTCTCGTGCTCTCTATCTCTCATTCTCTCCCTCTCAAATAAATAAATAAAATCTTTAAAAAAAAATAGGAGGAGCTATGAAATCATATTACAAAAGATATGGATATAGAGAGGCATAAAACATTGGGGACAATATTAATTTCCCCACACTTAGGAATGTTGCAACTCTGCTAGTCTGGTATTTTTTGCAACATCAAACGGGAAGAATGGGCAGAGAGGGGTAATAAACAGAAAGGAGGGGGTGGAGGAGAGTGAGAGTTCAGGTGGGCTGAATGTCAGAAAGAGTTTTGGGGATTTGGCAAATGAGAGGCTTCAAACAACTTCCGTAGAGAAAAAGAAATGGGTGTGAGAGGAAATAGGGTTTGGCTATGTGTTTTCATGGTTTAGGAATTTGATCCCTTCTGATACTCTATAAGAGATGCAAATAAAGAATGGAATTTCCATTAAGATATTTTTTGGCTATTGAGCCATGCATTTTTCCATGCAACTGTGAAAGAAGGAGCTATGTGGGGTCCCAGGACTTATTTGGATTAAACATTTAGATTTCTAAAGGAAGATCTTAAGAAAAGAAAAAAGGTTCTTCCGAACTAGAGGAAAAGCAAAACATTGATTTCCTCCCTGCCAAGGAGGTCAATCAATCATATTTAGATATTTAATATTTTTTTTAGCACTATCGGGTTTAGCATGTCAACATTTTGAGCAAGTGTGGTGCTCTCTGAAGACTTTGTGATTTTAGTTTTTCCAAATACCCATGGAAATGTAAAGAAATGATGTATTGACTAATTCCTAAGAGTACGATGCTGCCAGTGTATTTGAACGTTTGACAGCTCCTCTGAGCACATACTCTTTTGTTCACCCATTTCTGTCCTAATGGTGCTGGTGCTTTAATTCTATAATGATCCCTATAGAATGAAAGGGAGATGCCCCGGAAGCCAAAACTTGAGGGCTTGTAAGTTAGCCTATCTTGTATCCAAATCCTGACTTCAACTCTACTAACTATGTGAACTTGGGCATGTGTCTTATCTGACTAAGCTTTTTTTAAAAAAATCTTAACATGAGGATAACAATCCTTTTGCATGAGTTTATTGTAAGAATTAGGGATAATGTATAATCAGTGTTGAGTACATAAGTGTTTATCTCTGATTCCTCAAAAAGAGGCTATAGACCAGCCTTTACTGAGCCAGTGTCAAAATACCACAGTTTCCCCAAATTTGGTAAAATAAGCTTGTCTGAAGTCCAGGGTCAGGAAGCCATTGAACCAACAAAGACCTCTCTTCTCATTATTGCTTATAGGAGAGAAACAAAGGGATAACTACCAATTTAGGTGTTGGTGCTAGGTGTTAGGTGCTGTGCTACTGGTAACATTAAGAAGAAATCATCAGATACAGATTTTATTTTCCATGTAGTTGTTCCAGATCTCAAGGCACTTACAATTCAGCTGGGAACAAAAGGCAACAGAAAACTTTGAAATGCAGCAAGTATTCATCAAATGCTAAATTTGGAGTTTTAGGACCTTCAAGGAGAGATTGATAAAGGCCGAGTGGATACTGAAGGTGAGGCAGTCTCAGGGTAGAGAGCTGGCCAAGAGCTGCTCTGAACGAATGCCTGGGGGGGCAATGTAGATTAGAAAAGAAGGTAGAAATTAGAGAGACGAGGGGTTGGGGGGTGGGGAGGCTGATCAGGTAGGAAGATAGTAGATGATGGAGGGTTTTGAAAGCCAAGCAGGAAACCCTTGACAGGCAGATCGCTAACAATTTCTAAATAAGTGAAAGAGATCATGAAGATCTGTCCCTGGTAGGGACTTGCAGATACCTGAGCAGAGCTTGGAATCAAGTGTTGGTTGGCAGGGAGTCAGGCCCATGGTGAGGGAACATGGCCCAATGTGATGGTGGTGGTAGGGGCAGGAGAAAGTCACAGACTCTTCACTATGGGAGCTTGGGAGAGCTGTAGGTTCTTCTGAGCCCCAGCTAGTCTAGACTGACCAGTGCTATCCTGGCTCAAACTTCAGCCTTGGGCAAAGATTCAGAAGGCAAAAGCTGTCTGTTGGTTAGCGGATGGGTAATCTGAGATCCCCTTATTGTCAACTTTGCAGAAACCAGGGTAATGCCTATTTGCTGCTCACAAGCAATGCCTAGTCCTTCAAGTACTTGAGAAATGGGAATGAGAACAGCATGTCTCACCTGGCAGCTCATACAACAGCTACAATTTTCTTTCTACCCAAACTCTATAATTAAAGAGAGGGAAATTTCTCTTGCTATCCCTGGGCAAGGGACAAATAGAAAAGTGGAACGTGGGATGGAATAACATGGGTCATCCCCTCAATTACTAATGTTTATTTTTGCCTTTCCCAGATTTTCAATTACAGATAAACTGGCTCACACCACACTTCAGCAAAAACTCAAGGTCAAACAAGTTCTCTGATTTAAGTGTCAGTGGGACTTCTAGGACAATACTTTTCCGCCAACTAAAGGATGAGAACTTGAATGTTTATCTGTGACTTCTAAATAAATGACATCTGTATCCAAGCTGGCATTCAGCACTGAACAAAGTAGGGAAAAGACTGAACTGAAGAACCCCAAGAGTCAAGGTAAATTCCCTTCTCTTCTGAGACATTTTCTGATTGAGAGGGTCTGTCATGATGGATGAAAGGGAGGTGGGAAGGCTGTATTATTCTTGAAGGGGAGTGATATTAAAATTTAAAGCTTAGATTTTACCTGCAAATAGCATCCATAGGGATCAACAATTTAAAGTAAATTAGGAGGCATTAGAATTTATTTATTCAGCAAGTAGTTACTAAGGGCCCACCCAGTGCCAGACTCTGTCCCAGGAATGAGGAATAATATATCAGGAAAGGAAACAAGCCCCAGCTCATATGTGGTTGACAAGCCAGTGGGGGAAGAGATACAATAGCCTATAAAAATGTACTCGTCAAGTTGTCATAAGTGCTAAGAAGAATTAGTCTGGGAATGGGGAGAGGAACAGACTTGGTAAGGTGATGTGCTCTTTTAGACAGAGGGCTAAAGGCAGGCCTCTCCAGTGAGGTAATATCCGAGGAAGTGAGGGACTAAGCCACCTAAACACCTAGGGAAAGGGCAGCCCATGCAGAGGGAGTAGTATATAGTGGTGCCAGGTAAAATAGGGGATTCCCAGTTTTAATTGAATTTTAGGTAAAAAACCAATTTTTTTTTTAGTATAAGTATGTCCTAAATATTGCATAAGACATATTTACACTAAAAAAAAAAAAAATCATTTACCTAACACTCAACTTGAGCTGGGCATGCTGTATTTTTATTTGCCAGATTTATCTGGCAGTCCTTGCCAAAACTTGAGGAAAGCATATGGTGGACGTATTCAAGGAATGCTGAGAAGGCCAGAGACAGGAGCAAGGGGAGCCTGACGGGAGTTGAAGTCCTAGAGGTGGCAGGTGGTTGGGTCCCAGAGAGCCTAGGGGCCACAGTACCAACTTTGGCTTTTCCTTTGAGTGTAACGGGGAGCCAGTGGGAGGATTCGAGCAGAAAAGTGTCGAAATTCATTCATTTTTTTTTCCCAAGTGTTTAATCAATTTCATTCAATAGTCATTCAAACAAATTACTGAATATCTATTAGCTTTACCGAGGTGGGATAGTGTTGGGGTCGTATTTTTGCTTTCCAGGGCCTCATCCACTATCCAGGAGAGATAACACTTAACCAAACAGGTAAGTAACAGTATAAATGCTTGGGTCAGCATGGGCGGTTTTGCCCAGAGTACCATTGGTGGATAGATTACTTGGGCTAGAAAAGTTTGGGAAGCATTTTGGAGGAGGCTAGACTAACTGGTCCAGGAAGGATAGGGGGGAAGGTTCCTGTTTTCCTTCTATTTCAAGCCTGCAGGTGTTGTTCTTTAAGATATGGATGGAATTCTGGTGGGTATTTAGGCCTTTGTATCCATCATGTCCTGGGAATGGTGCTCCTCTTCTACACCATGCCCAGACAACACTTTCAGAACCGAATGGACAGCAGGATGAGCATCAGCCCCCAAGTAAAGGGTCAGAGGGCCAGAACACTGATCAGAGTCAAAATGGACCTTCTCAACCTTGACATACCATATGCACAGCCCTTGTCTAGAGTAGGAGGAATGTGGACTTCAATAAATGTACAAGCAGGATTTAATACAACCACCATTACTTTTCCTTAGGGATTCTTGCCTCTGGGAAGTTAGCACCCAAAAAAATTCCTGGGACGCCAGAGAAGCTTATAAATGTTTGTGGAATAAATATCCAACTTTTGCATCAATTCTCAGAAAGCATTTTGAGGTCTTTCTAATGGAATAATCAGCTTAATCAATTAGCTTTAATTTAACTTACTTCTTTTTTTTTTCAGACTGCCTGAGTGAGCACAGAAGAGATCACATGTTCTGTGGCTTCTTTGAAATGGCCTGAGAATCTCAGAGAAGGACCATGCTTGTAGTCTGGAGCCAGAGGACCAAGGGGACCAGAGCCTAGGTCTTAAGGCCTGCTGCACCTGTACCAGTTACAGTACCTGTAACTTCTCTAGTAAAAACTCAATTACTGTAATGGCTGGTGGCATTCTCTGAAGATGGGCCGGAAACAAATTCATGGAAACTCCCAAATTTCATTTACCAGGCCTGTTATAACAAATTACCACAGACTGGGTGGCTTAAACCAGCAGAAATGGATTCTTGCACAGTTCCAGAGGCCGTGCCTTGTCTAGTCTTTCAGAGAGAATCCTTCCTTGCCTTTTCTATCTTCTGGTGGCTCCAGGTGTAATTAAGCTATGGATCTTGAGCTGAGATGAGTCATGTGGGCCCTAAATCCAATGGCAAGTGTCCTCGTAAGAGAGAGACAGAGCATGTTGGGACAGAGGAGGGAAAGGCAATGTGACCACAGGGTCAGAGGTTGGAGTGATGCTTTGCCTTCTTGTTTCCTAGCATGAGAAGACTGAAATGACTGGATATAGCTTAAAGTTGAATGGGACTCTTGCTTTGCTCCTTGGTGCAAGTATTTCCACTCTGGGAACTAGGGTCTTTAAATCCACAGAAACTGGAATTATTGGGACTGAAAGCACATCACTGGGCATGATGGTAAATGGGACCACTCCTTTTTCCACCCCTTGGTTCTGGATACATGTATTCTACCTTCTACGGACCCAACACCATATAACAGTTAGTGCGTTAGAGTATATGCTGAATCCTGGGGGCAGGGGGCACCCTTGCAAAGGGTGGCAAGGTGGTGGCAAAGATGTGTCTGCTCAGGCCACAGGCAAGAATGTGGGCTGCCTTCAGGAGGCCCTGCAGCTGGCCACTTCCTTTGCCCATCTGTGCCTGGGAGATGTGAAGAACTGAGGGGTAGGGGCAGCTTCCGCTGGGAAGCAGCCTTCCTTCCCCCGATGCATCCGTCCAGCCAGCTCTCCATCTGCCACGAGGACATTGGGATCTTGGGACCCTTAAAAACCCCCGTCTGTCCTCCTAACCCAGCAGTAACTGGAATTCACTCACCTGGGAGCTGGCCTATGACTCATGGCACACATTACATTTCTGCCCTAAGCCCCACACACCAGCGCCATCGTCTAAAACCACTACCCCAGAACTGCTGTTTATCATCGCCCTGCTCGTGTTTGTAGTTAGAGTTCTTTACGGGCCTGAGGGTCTGAGTCTGTAGGGAGGGATCCTTTTTGCTGCACAGAATAAAAGGGCTCTGTGCAATACCAGAAAAAAAAAAAAAAGCTGGCACCTTAACTGCACCTTGAAAATTCCATCCCGTTGCTCTATCAGGCTGGCAGTTTATGAGTGGTCCAGTAAGTAATAGAACCAGTAGATCCCAAGGTCACGTGACAACTTCCATACCTCTTTTCTGTAAAGTGAATTCTTTGGTTCAATATGATGTTATATAGGACTCATATCAGTGGATCAAATGTTCTGTAAGCCCTTGAAAGTGTTGCTAGCTGAAGCCTTGTGGGAAGGAAAGGCAGACCTAGACCCTCTACAATGTGTTAATATGTCTATCAGAATCAATCACTGTCCTTTCCGTGGTGGAAAGAATCCAATGTAGTCCTCACCAAGGGATGGTGTCATATCACAGCAGTTGCAGCAGAGGCTTCAGTCAATCCCTCAGGGAGCCCAGGAATAAGGATGGGCCCTCAGGTTTGTCTTTATTTAAGGCAAGAGGGCTGCGCCTTCATATTCACTCCCCTGCCAACCAGTCATTGGATGCTGGCTGTCTCCTGGAAGGCACAAGATTTGGGGGGGAGCAGCTTCCTTTAGCTGATACGGATTTCCAAAGAGCAACTTGGCTGAGAGCCTTCAGCCCCAAACTACCCCAGCAGATGGCAAAGGATCTGGCAGCACAGTATCCACTGGGGCTCATTTATCTTCCATGAGTGGGACTATGTTTGCCATTGTTTTTCCTCCCTGGAGAAATGGATTGGCCCTGAATGGTCCTTACTCAGGGCAGTTAGCATTTTGTTGGTGGTTTCGGCAGGAATTATTTTGAGGGAGTGTTGGGAGATAATTAAGAAGTAACTCTGAAATTAGGAGACTGAGCTAACGAGTCTAAACCTCTCTTGCAAGAAACTTTGCTGAGAAGAAGGATTCTATAGATTTGGGGAGAATGAATTAAAATACCCTTCCTTCCTCAGTGAGTGCACTTCCAAAATAATGGCTGGGGTGATAAGGGAAAATTGGAAGTTTTTTCCTCTGGGTGAATCTAATTAGTCCTCAGGGGAACTGAATCTGTAGCTCCAGCTTCATTAGTATCATCCCAGCTGAATCAACTGGCTGGAGAACAACCAGGCTTCGGGCAGACTGTAGCAGTCAAATCTAGAATTAACCAAGAGGTCAAGTTATTTACTAAGTCAGACAGACGGGGTGGGTTTATGTTCATGTTATCTACAAAACGGTTACATCATAGCGTGTGAGGTCTGACACTAGGGAGTCTGCTGGCGGTTGGCTGAAACTGAGAAAATATTCCTATTTATGTCCAAAATGGAAAACAAAATTTTTTAAAAAATGAAGATGACCATTAGTGGCTCTGGAATATCTTGATGGGACAGATTTGAAAAAGGTCAATGGATTCAGATGTGAGCAGGGCTTTCCATGTCATCAAATCAGCAAATCCAATGCAATTGTACTTTCTGAGCATCATTTTTCTGTTTTGTGTGTAAAATATGGAGAACCAAGCTCATTATGTTATAAATATAACTGATGAGGGAGGTGGAATTTTCATCCATTCATGAACTATTTGAATCACTTCCTAAGTCCTGTGTTTTATAGTTTTTTCACCTGTTAGGAAGATGTGTCCTCAGTTTAATCAGGAAGAAGTCAAGATTTCTTGAGCAGGGATAGGAGGCTAGGTGAAACGGAACAACCTCAGTTTCTTATCTTGTTCGTGGCAGATGGATGGGGAGAGGATGGGTAAGAGTGTGGGTCTCATTCTAAATAACAGGAGGAACCCCCTTCTTATGAATACAAGAAGCACTGTCTTCAGTCGATTGAAGAGTTGAACCACGTATGTACCAGCGTCAGGCAGGGTTCATCCTTGGACATCGAAATATGTCCTTCATCAGAGAACAGTCTAGACTGGCTCATGCTCAACAACATTGAAAGCGCCTCTGTGTGTCTGGAATCTTTTCTTACACCCCTCAAAACTCTTCTCATGTCTATCTCTTTTCCATCCTTCAGCTCTCTGAGCTTCAATGCCTCTTCTGCCGAAAGTTGGGAACTATCATTTGGCAGATAACAGCTGTATCTAAAGTGGATACTTCCCTGTTACTCTCTCTCAGCTCCTTAACTGTTTCCTTTGTAGCACACATCTGTATGTGCTATCTGTAGCACAGTTTGCAATCTTTTTTTTTTTAACATGTTCACTTATTTCAGCCACTTGAATGTGAGGGCAGGGACCAACTCTATTATAATTTCACAGTCAAATCCCAATGCCTGGTACCTTGTGATTAATCAATAAATTCACATTGATTGAATAAATTGTACTGAACAGATTTGGCCTGAAAAGGATCATAAGGTAATGGCAATACTTCATTTTAAAGTAAAGGTATTGAGCTTGTTCTTAGCTCTGCCATTAACCAATTCTGTGACTTTGGACAAGACCTTCAACCTCTCTGGGAGTCATCTATAAGATGGGAGGCTAGAAGAGTTTCATCCTAACTCCAGGGTTATGTGACTAGAACTGAAACTGATTGTGATTATCCTGGAGTTTTATGTTTTCACACAGTAGTCTTACTCAAGAGTTTCTCTTTCTAACTGGTTTATATACCTTATTTTTTATGGATCAACTTGTTTTGACCCAAGGCATATCTAAGCCAAAACTGAACAAGCCCTTATTGGAAAAATATGTCCATGTAATTAAATTCCAGTATTCATGATTTCCAAAACCACTTTACAGAGAGAATATGGTCAGTCAGTGTAGAAATCCCCAATACAAATTAAATTAAGCAGTAGGGTTCATTCAAAATGATTACAAATGATACAGGAAACTCAAAAATTTGTGATCTTTTCAAAATATTTCAAATGTTTGAAGAAATAACAGTATTTACTGGAGTATCAATTTGTTCTTTTATGCTAAAACAGGGATATTGAAAAGTTGAGAAATACCCTTACAGCCTCACTGGTGAGGACAAAGGCATAAAATCACCATCATATTTATTCTTTGGCCACAGAGAAGTGATCATCAGGGTTCATGGAAACACATGACCCAGACATGAGTTGCCACTTGAGCAAATGGCATTGGGCTCAGGTCCCTTCATACAGGTTGATGTCAGTTTCATCAGTGTCACAAGTAGAAGGAAGTCATGTCTAATTTTTTTAGTGTCTGGTATGAGCAAGTCTTTTATGGCATTGAGATGTTTGCTGGTACCCAGTTATTCATTTTGTCACTCTTAAAACTCTAGTGGTGGCTTCCAGAAGGAAAAAATGGAAAGCACGTCCCAGCATCTATAATCATTAGTAGCATTATTTATATTTTCCTAAGTAAGTTAGAATCAAGTATTTAGTTGACTTGGAGGCATAAATACTACTCATAGGACTGAAGTACTGAGTCAAAGAAGTAGGTAAAGGTTGAAAGCAAGCTCAGATGCAAGGGCTCAGAAGACCCCATCAGCTGAGAATGACTAGCCTAGAAGTGAGAGCCCCTGCACAAAGAAGCCAGACTTTATCTGCGTGACCATGGATGACCTAGCACTTTTATTAATAGTGCACTGTGACAGGGCCTATGGTTTGGACTTAAACTGAGAGAGAGACATTAAATGCATTTCTGTGTTTTAAGAGAGATTAGAAACCTGTAAACCAACAGGGCGGTCCCAGAAGGAGCCGACTTCTTTCAAATCCGAATTCCATTGACCTTGGCTAGACAGATCTTTGAGCCAGTGGCTAAGGATGGATTTATTCGGGCCTCAGCTTCAAGTCTCAGTAAGAACAACAACGACAACAATGTTCCTACGTGTAAGTAAACGCACTTTCAACCCTGGTTAATCTGCCCCAGGCAAAAAATATTTCTTTCCAACTGCTCTCTTAGAACTCATTACGATTAAGAGGCCTTTGTCCTCCTCTTCCTCCTTCTTCTTTGCCTTGAGTCCTCTCTTGTCTTCACTCCCTCCTTGCCCTCCCTTACAGTCTTTTTTTTAAATGTTTTTGTTATGTTAATCACCATATATTACACCATTAGTTTTGGATGTAGTGTTCCATGATTCATTGTTTGTGCATAACACCCCGTGCTCCACGCACTACGTGCCCTCTTTAGTACCCATCACCAGGCTAACCCATCCCCCCACCCCCCTCCCCTCTAGAACCCTCAGTTTGTTTTTCAGAGTCCATAGTCTCTCATGGTTGGTCTCCCCCTCCGATTTCCCCCCCTTCATTCTTCCCCTCCTGCTATCTTCTTCTTTTTTTTTTCTTAACATATATTGCATTATTTGCTTCAGAGGTACAGCTCTGTGATTCAACAGTCTTGCACAATTCACAGCGCT